TTTTATTTTGTAATTTTTATTATTATTTTGTTTATCTGAGTTGTAAATTATTATAAAATAATTATTTATATTCATATATAAGGTAATTGATCAGTAATTAAAATATTCTAGTTAGTTTTTCAAACTAACTAGAATTTTAATTATATAATGGATTCTAAAATTATAATTGAAATAAATTCAAATCTTTTATTTTGTTTAATTAAATTTTTTAAATTTTTTTTTTATTTTTTTTTTTATTTATTACTTATAATTTTATTAACAATTTTTTAATTTGGCTTTAAAACGATGAGTTAATTTTATGGTATAGAATAATGAATCTCAAAATTTCAGATAATTAATAATTTTACTTTATATATATAAATAAATAATTATATAATAACTTTTAAATTTCCCTAGTTAGTCTTCTCAGACCAACTAGAATTTTATTTATGTAATAAACCAATCAGGTGAGAGAAGGATCCCCACTTATATATTATCTGAAACTTGCTTCGTTTAGTATATTAACTCTTACTTTTCCACATTGCTATTGGTCAACTGACTGACAAATTTTTAGTATGTCTAAAAAAGAAATTTTATATTATTACAAGTGTTGTGGGGTGCCGCTGGCGCCCTTTTCAAAGATACAAAGTGCCTATAATAAATGAACTCGATTTTTAAAGTTCCGCACTATTCCAGTAAGTGAATTATTTTGTATTACAGCTGATTTGAAAATTAGTGGGACACCTAATGAATTTTGTGATGATCATCCAAATTTCGGTAATTATTTTTCGGTAATAACAGTATAGTTTTTCGATAATATAATTTTTCGGCCAATATATTATTGCGGTATCGCTTGTTTTGATTTTTGGACTGATATGGGATGTGTTGTAACAAACTATCCCGGATTAGTCCGAAATCAAACAAACGATATCGCAAAAATATATTGGCTGAAAAATTATATTATCGAAAAACTACACTGTTATTACCAAAAAATAATTATCGAAATTTGGATGATCATCACAAAATTCATCAGGTGTCCCACTAATTTTCAAATCAGCTGTAAAAATTATCATAATTTCTATCGTGAATTATTATAAAAAATTTTGTTACAAATCTACTCAACAGATAATACATTTTAAGGTTGAGTTTAATTAAATTATTGTGGTTTCTATCGTGAATTACTGTTAAAAATTCTTATACAAAGCTTGCGCACTATTCTAATAATTACAATATGTGGTTAGTGTTGAGTTAGATGCATTGGAATTATTATGGTTTCTATTATCTGTTACCAAAACAGTATGTGACTCACTAATACATGTTATTAACTCATAGGCAGATATTCGTATGATTGGCAGTTTAAATCAATTTAATTTTATATTATTTATACAGTTTTAAAGTACCTTTCAAAAAAAACAAAACTACAACGAATAAACAAAAAAGAAGGATATAGAAAGTTTTATTAGCGTTGTAGGACTTCACTATTAAAAATATTCAAAATTCTTTTTTGTTTTAGAGAAATTAGCATGTGATAATCTAATTTTATGAAGCCGCTATTATGCTAACTTCTCTAAAACAAAAAAGAATTTTGATTTTTAATAGTTGAGCGCTACAACACTAATAAAACTTTCTATATCCTTCTTTTTTGTTTATTCGTGTAGTTTTGTTTTTTTTAAAAGGTACTTTAAACTGTATAAATAATGTAAAATTAAATTGATTTAAACTGCCAATCATACGAATGTCTGCCTATGAGTTATTAATGCTATCCACATCTCAACTAATCTAATTTCAAAAATACAAAGTGAGTGCGTATAACAAATGAATCTTGATTTTTAAAAGAAAAACAAATAGATTCATTATTTTTTTAAAAAAGATTTAATCGCTATAGCTGTTCAGTATATCCAAAAAAACTGTGGGAAAATTTAAAAGATGATTGGCTATGACGTAAATTATTGCGACTATGATTATTTGCATGATTAATGTCATAATAAATTCGTCATTTATTCGATATTGTGAATTTCTCATAGCATGTGATCGTGACCATTTGAATATCCCATTTTCACATGATCAAAATGATTGGTAAAAATGTACAGAACACTCGTGACGGATGATAATTTCATAATAAATTCATCATTTATTCGATATTGTGAATTTCTCATAGCATGTGATCGTGACCATTTGAATATCTCATTTTCACATGATTAAAATGATTAGTAAAAATGTACAGGACACTCATGATGGATAATAATTTTATAATAAGAGGATACTGTTCTAATTGGTCATACTTCTGGTGTTTATAAAACCTAGAAAGAATGTAAAGAACAAGTGAACAGTTTTCCTTCTGTATATTATAAAAAATGTTTTACTTTAGAAAAAGCAAATCAATTATATAATAATTACCAAACAAAAATAAAAAGCAAAAATAAATTATTAAACTTAACTGATAAAATTGTTATTTATACAGATGGATCTTTAAAAGATAATCAAAATAGTTGTTATACTGGAATTGGAATTTATTACGAAGATAGATCTAAAAAAATTACTGAACCCTTACCTAGTACTCTCAAAACAAATAACCGTGCAGAGATTTATGCTATAATTAGAGCACTTGAAACATGTGAAAATCAAGATAAAGTTATTGAAATTAAAAACTGATAGTCGATACATTGTAAATGCATGTGAAACTTGGATTTATAATTGGAAAAAAAATAACTGGAAAACATTAAGAAATGAAACTGTAAAAAATAAGGATTTATTTGAAAAGTTGGATTTTTTATTAAATAAAAGAAATAGTAAAGTTTATTTTACATATATATTTGGACATAAAGGATTATTTGAAAATGAAATTGCTAATAAATTAGCTAAAAAAGGAGCAGCAATTAATATGAATGAAAATAAAAAACTTTCTCCTTATAATAGTTTTATGAAATTTAATTTACCAATTATTAAAAAAAATAATACAGATTTAGATTATAAATCAGCATTTAAGGTAGTAGCTTCAATGTGGAAAGATTCAATTAATAATCCAAAAAATGATTTTTCAAAATATTTGTAATTATTTTTTATT